CCTCTGGACATCACGGTGGCCTGCAGTAGTCCGCCATAGCCTCGGCCTCCAAGGAAGAAGAAGGGAGAGGCGGCCATGGCTAGGGGGGACCTCAATAGTAGTCAGCTGTAGAAGAGGACCTTGGACTTTGATTCTGGATCAGCTGGTCAGCATTGTTGCAATAATTCTTGTTTGAATAYAAGAGAGGGGGACATATGGAGTTGAGAAGTTGAGCGAAGGAGAAGTGCTTTGACATTGGTTTTTTGTTGGTGTACTTCATCTTCTTCCTTCTTACTACTACTTCTTCTTCTTCTTATCCTCTCAATCCTCTCAAGTTCATTCATTTCTTTTGCAATTGGGCAGCATTGTGCTTTATTGGTGAATTTGTACTTCGCAATTGGTCCGGGTTATAACACTATAGCAAGATAGAGTTAAAATTCGGCTACCATCAGATTGCAATAAGACCTGAGGATCAGCACAAGACTGCTTTTCAGACCAGATACGGTCTGTATGAGTTTGTAGTGATGCCCTTTGGCCTTTGCAATGTGCCGGGTATATTCCAACACGCCATGAATAGGATCTTCCATGACCACTTAGATAAGTTTGTCGTAGTCTACCTTGACGATGTTCTTATCTTTAGTAATTCTGTCGAAGAGCATGCACAGCACGTTGAGACTGTACTTTCACTCTTGCGGCAGCACAAGTATAAGGTCAACCTAGAGAAATATGACTTCGGACGCATTAAGATTTTATACTTGGGTCATGAAGTATCCCCGGATGGTATTAGGCCGGAAGATGCGAAGGTGGCTAGTATCAGGGATTGGCCACGACCTCAGACTGTTACTGAGGTCAGATCTTTCTTAAGAATGTGTGACTACTATAGGAACTTTGTGAAGAATTATTCCACAGTCGCCTCTCCTTTGACCGATCTAACTCGACTTGACACGCCATGGGACTGGAGTGATGAGTGTGAGGTTGCACTCATGAATCATGAGGTTCTCATGGTGCCCGATCCTCAGAGGCCATTCATAGTGACCACTGACGCAAGCCAATACGGCATTGGCGCAGTGCTGGCTGAGCATGATGGGAAGAAGTTGAGGCCGATTGAGTACATAAGCAAGAAAATGCCATCAAAGAAACTGGCAAAGTTTACCTGTGAAAGGGAACTATATGCTCTCTACAAAGCACTTGTTCATTGGAGGAAGCTTCTCATATTTGAGAACCAACCATCAGACCCTCAAATGGATCAAGACTCGACCGACTCTCTCTGATGCACTCAAGCGATGGATTGAGGTTATAGATCAGTATGACTTCAAGCTAGAGTATCAAAAGGGAGAGTACAACAAGGTTGCAGATGCGCTGTCACGTAGAGCAGACTACCTAGGCGCGCTAGTTTCTGTCTTTGGTGTATCTGAGGAACTAACTCAATCGTTGGTGGGAGCCCATCAGGAAGACCCTGTCACTATGTACATCATACGCAAACTTCAGGCAAAAGACAAGGCCACAAAAAATGAGTTTGTGATGGTGGACGGGCTTCTCTTTCTCGATAAGGCCGGATTGAAAAGATTAGTTGTACCATCTAGTGAACGTTTGCGTAGTTTATTCTTAGGAGAATGTCATGACGCAGCCGGACACTTTGGCTACAAAAAGACGAGTGCCAATCTAGTACAGCGATTTTGGTGGCCTGGAATGCTAGATGACGCAAAGAAGTATGTAGAGACCTGTCAGGTCTGTGAGCGGGACAAGCCGCGAACTCAAGCACCGCTTGGGTTGCTGAAGCCTTCACCTATCCCCGCTGGTCCTGGACAGAGTGTTTCCATGGACTTCATGGACACCCTGGTGACCAGTAGGAGTGGCAAGAGGCACATCTTTGTCATCATTGATCGATTCACCAAATACGCTAGACTAATTGCCATGCCAGAGACCGCAAGGACTAACCACGTCATCAAGTTGTTTATGGACAACTGGGTACGTGATTTTGGACTACCAAAGTCAATCGTTAGTGACAGAGATGTCCGATTCACAAGTGAGTTGTGGAAGAAGACTGCTGAGCAGATGGGCAGTCAACTTCAGACGACTTCAGGGAATCATCCCGAAGCCAACGGACAGGCCGAGCAGATGAACACGGTTGTACAACACCTGCCGAGGCATTACATCAAGCCCAGCCAGGATGAGTGGGATGAGAAGTTGCCTCTCATTGCCAGCCTGTACAACAACGCTGTACACAGCAGTACCGGCGTTAGTCCTAATCAGCTACACTTGGGATGGAAGCCTAGATCAGCTCTGGACTTCCTCCTGCCTGAAAATCGACCCTCTGCAACTCCAGGCACACTTGAGTATGGTGTGCAGTATGAGAAGTTGCCACAGCAAGTTGTCGAACACATCGAGAAAGCTCACCAAGCGATGATTGCTTCTAAGAACAAACATCGTCGGCAGTCCTCATTTCAGGTAGGGGAACGTGTCTGGGTCAAGGCTAGTGAGTTAGGACAGGAATTTGAAATCTCTCGCAAACTAATGCCTCAGTATTTTGGTCCATGGGAAGTCCTGGATATAGTTGGGGATGAGATGGATGGTCCTACCTATGTTATCCGTACCGCTAGTCACTTACGCACTCACCCTGTCTTTCATGCCTCAGAGGCTGCACCTTTCGCTGAGACAGATCAATTTCCTTCCAGGAGATCAATGCTGCCCCCAACCATGGATGGTCAAGTGGACATCAACGACATTGTGGATCACAGAGATCTGCCTGTTCCAAAGCCACTGGGTGGAGGAAGACTTCCAAAACCCAAGCGGGAGTATCGCGTTCGATTCAGTACGGATCCGAAGGAAGATCGGTGGTTTGCCAGAGAGGAACTGATTGACACAGCTCCTCAAGTGGTGGCAGATTATGAGAGAATGTTAAAAGGGAAGGCACCTGCGAAGTAAGCATCCCAGCGGACTTTCGAAGCTAAGGGGGATGGAATGTGAGGATTGAGCCCTCAAGAAGGGGCCTTGCCATGATGTACATGTTATGGGCTAAGGCCTCAGCAAGCCTCATGCCCGCCCTAAGTAAAGGCGGGCCAACAAATCAACAAGAGCCCTCTGTGCAAACATTTCACGAAGTGGGGTCCATACAGTTGCAGCACGCCAGTTGGTTGGAGTGCACCGAGTATCGGAGCTCTCCGAATGCAGAAATCCCAGAGCCCCAGAGTTGGTTAGGCCCTGGGCACATAAACGTGAGGTCGACAATGCATGTTGGATATAGAGGCCGAAAATGCCAATGGGAAACCGGTCCACTATCTGAATCTGGCCGCAGGCCTTGATGAAAGAGGCGCAACTGCATCTCCTGGGCCCCAACCGCATTGGGCCTGGGTACAGGTACTGGGGCCCAGGCGCAGGCTCAAGGGAGGMCGCCCACACGCAACACTGGCATRTAGGCAGGGASGGCGAGTGGGCAGGGGATCTTGGCCAATGCAGGCATTGCGGGCACGCTGCTGCATTGTAGCGCTGCACTTGCGCTGTGGCTGAGGGAGGCAGGCTAGCGCTAAGCGGTAGAGCGCTGCCTGGGCGCAGGGCGCTGGCGGCCATAGCCGGGCTGCCTGTGGGCGCAAGGGAGGAAGGGCGAAGGTGGTTCTTCGGAGGTGAAGGGCGCTGTGTGGGATTCTTCGGAGGTGAAGGGCGCTGTGTAGGATAACAAGGGAGAGTGAGGGAGAAGAGAGAGACGTACCTGGTGGAGGGAGGAGGTCGGCATTGGTGTTGACATCATCACTCGCTGGTAGTCAAGTTGTCTGGTTGCTTCCATGCTGTAGTTGTAGTGATAGGCTGTAGAGTAGGTAGGGCGCCTGGCGCCATTCAAGA